CCATGAGGAACCTTGCAATTAAAAAACTCATTCTGTTACAGATTTTGGTTAGATAATTTGATATTATCACCATTGCTATGCATATCTAAACCAAATAAACATCATATCACATCGATAGCTTTTAATCACAGAAACCATCAAGTTTTTAGTTTTCTTCTCAGAGTTGTGTTCTGGCTGCAGCAGGGACATTTAAAAGCCTTTTCTCTGTGGTGGGTTCAAGGACAAATTGTCTGTCAGAATCAGAAATTCAAGCTTAGACTAAATCAAACATATGAACAATAAGAAAATAAAGACTTTAGAGAACAATGACATCAGTTTGAGTTGTTCATGTTTTTTGCCTTTGACTGTCGCTGAAATTGAGCAGTCAGATTTTGGCAGTGATGGAAAAAGAGTGTGATTTAAAGTTAATGGTCTAGAAATGCAGCCATAAACTTGAGTTTAACCTACTGAAAAGCCCTCTTTACATTCAGCCATGCATCACAAAGCAAACAAAATGGCTCAAGAAAGTCATAGGTCTAAAAAAAACAAAAACAAAATGCCGAAACTAAACAGCGTGAAGGTGTGAAGAAAGTTTGGCTTTAAATCCTTTTTTTGAGGTCAGACCCAAAAGCCCCCTCTTTAAAGTAAGCCATGAAACACGTTTTTACATCATACATAGATCTCAGGAGGACTGATCAGGGAGGGTTGTCACACTAAACAGAGGACCCTCGATTTATGGTTTTAGATGCAACGACACTTGCAAAAAGAGTACATACATTTAAAAAGGTAAACATGGAGTAAAGGAACACACATTCGAAGAAATTGGTTCCTCTAGTCTACAGGATAGCTGTTCTGATAGAGAAATAGATGAGGGAGGTAGGAGGGAGGAGTAAACGTGCTGCTGTGAATCTAGGACAGTCAGGAAAAAACCTCTCTCTCTCTCTGAGTGTGGTCCGGTGTTACTCTGATGTCGATAAGACTTTGTGTACGCATGAAAGTGCTTCAAGTTGGAGATTTCTATCTCTTCGTCTTCATTCACAGTGGCCAACAAGTGCCGGCTCGGCAAGGGCTTTAACGACTCACGTTAACAGAAATGTGCAGCACATTCAGAAACAACACGGATCAAGAAGCGCAGGCAAGGGGAGCGCTGGTGGCGCAATGGTTAGGGCGCGCGTCCCATGTATTGAGACTCTCGTCTCGAGCAGTAGGCCCCAGGTTCACTTCCACCCATGGCCCCTTTCCGCATGTCATTCCCCACTCTCTGTCCCTGGTTTCCAACTCTATCTGTCCTCTCTCTGCATTAAAAAGGCACAAGAAGAAGCACAGGCAAAAGCCCAAGACAAATGCAAACGCTAAAATGTGCTGCAAAAGCAACAAAAGTGTGGCGAAAAGCCAAAAGAAATGTATCAATATTTAAGGTGCTGAAAGTCCTTAAATGAGCCAAAGTCAAAAACACATATTTAGAAAACAACTGCAAATACACAAACACTGCAAATACAGTCTTCAACAGAGGTGCTCCAGACCTGTAGGGGCGCTCTATTAACTGAAGAGTGTTAGGTAGATATTGCTTTGTTTGGATGGGAAAATCTAATTGAGAGTTACATTAAAAACTACAGACACTGGGAGATATCAAGTCCAGCCTGGATTTTAAAACTGGAGATGAGAAAGCTGAGCCAGCCCAGGGATACTTGGAGTTTGTCAATTTGAAGTTATGAATATGCATGGTTTTGACTTTAAACCGTTTATGTATTTGCAGCACATTAGATGTTATTGCAAGTGGTTTCAGCTGTGGCTGAGCCTTTGCATTTGTCGACAACCGTCTTCCATCTATTTCATCTGTCGGTCTTAAAGCAGAGATTTCTTTATGGTGTACAGATGTCGTCTCTCTATCTCTCCCTTCCTTACTTCTTGTTTTCTCACACTTTGTTATGGTGCCTATACAGTACATCAGATTGCACAGCATTGCCTGTCTGTGAAGCCTCAAAGTTCTTCTATTTCCCACACATGCATATACCTATATTTTCTCTCTCTCACACACACACACACATAGATGTTTGTGTACAGTGTGTTTATGCCTTTGAGCAGGGTGTAAGGTTGAGCAACAGGAGGGAGGAGAGGGAACTTCTTTCATGTCCTAGTTTCTTTTACAGCGGGGGCTGCTGGATGGCGAGTCCTTATTTTTCACATCAGGCTGGTTCGTCGGGAGAGTGAGGATTAATTCTCTCCGGCTGTGTGTGGTTCTTGTGCGGATCGATACACCCAGTCGCTACCTATTTGAGAGGGAGGGCAACACACTGTTGGTTTTGGCGATGGGGGGGGCGGCCCCTGTGGAATAGCATTAACAATACATACCTCAGAGGAGACTTAGGCCAAAGCTTGAGCAAGCAAAGTGAGCAAAGTGCCGTGTATCAGATGGGCGCTCCAATAATTGAGTGTCCATGTTTGCATTGGTACATACTAATATTAGATCCCAGATTAGGCTCTCGTAATGAGTTTGTGCTTGTTTGCATGTCCAAGAGGGATGATTATAAAGCTCTCCATCATCTCAGGAAAAGAGAGTCCACTCTCTTGAGCTGCAGAGAGCCTGATAGCGATTACAGGTCACAGCGTCAAGAGAAGACTGTCCGTGCCATCGTCTGCTCAGAATCGATAAAGAGCCCCTAGCCGCGACGGGGCCTGTCAGCGCTCACGCCAGTTTTACGCAGGGGTGAGCCAACCTGTGCACTGCCAAGGTCGGCCGTAGTTATGAAGAGGTTGTGGATTTGGGGCTAGGTAAACACACACTGTCCTCTCCCTGAGAATACAAAGTAGCACGTTTACTGGCAGCAAAAAGAGCATGCTGACAAAACAGCGAGGCCAGGCTGGAGGACGGAAAGAAAAGGAGGAGCAATACAGCAGACAAAAACAAGAGAAGGTTAATGGAAAAGATAGACGGAGAGGAAGAAGAGGATAAAGAGAGGCAGAGAGGAAAAACGATGAGATAGGGATCGTAAAAAAAGGTAAATAGAGAGATTAGAGAGGACAAATGATGAAGGTTGCTGTGACATGGTCAAGTTGATTAGACTCAGATCCAGATGTGACTCCTCTGTCTGTCTGTCTGTCTGTCTGTCTGTCTGTCTGTCTGTCTGTCTGTCTGTCTGTCTGTCTGTCTGTCTGTCTGTCTGTCTGTCTGTCTGTCTGTCTGTCTGTCTGTCTGTGTCTGTCTGTCTGTCTGTCTGTGTCTGTCTGTCTGTCTGTCTGTCTGTCTGTCTGTCTGTCTGTCTGTGTCTGTCTGTCTGTGTCTGTCTGTCTGTGTGTGTCTGTCTGTCTGTCTGTCTGTCTGTCTGTGTCTGTGTCTGTCTGTCTGTCTGTCTGTCTGTCTGTCTGTGTGTCTGTCTGTCTGTCTGTCTGTCTGTCTGTCTGTCTGTCTGTCTGTCTGTCTGTCTGTCTGTCTGTCTGTCTGTGTGTGTGTCTGTCTGTCTGTCTGTCTGTCTGTCTGTCTGTCTGTCTGTCTGTGTGTCTGTGTCTGTGTCTGTCTGTCTGTCTGTCTGTCTGTCTGTCTGTCTGTGTGTGTGTGTGTGTGTGTGTGTGTGTGTGTGTGTGTGTGTGTCTGTCTGTCTGTCTGTCTGTGTGTGTGTGTGTGTGTGTGTGTGTGTGTGTGTGTCTGTCTGTCTGTCTGTCTGTCTGTCTGTCTCCTCTAAAGGCAAAGTCTGAGAGATCAGACTGAGACAGATGCATAAATGAAGTCATCCCCTGTTATCTGAAAAAGTAGATAAAAAGTAGATAATCACCCAGTGTGTTAAATGTGTGAATCATCAGAGAAGTGCTTGGACAGTGACGGTAATTTCAAGGTGATTATCATTCACTCAGACGAGGTTCACTCTTTTCATTCTAAAAGGCCACAAGCTTTTTCTCTCACTCTGTGCTCAGTTCCGCGAGGGGTTGATTAACGCGAGCAGTAATTATTGTGTGATAGAAATTACAGTTTCATATTTCATTAGGAACCCTCTGTTTAACTCATCCCAGACAAGGGTACACAGATTAGTCTTCTCATGTTATTTGGTGTGTGTTGACAGGAATCACTCAGCTCCCACTGAATCTGTCTGTAAAGAAATAAATGGTGGATTACATTTATGCAGCCTGATTATTTTTCAGATCTTTTTCACTGTCTGTGTTTGGATTCGTCCATTTTTTAGGATACTTTTTCTTCTTTTGCCCTTTGGCAACAACACTACTCGTAAAATATTTTAAATTTGAGAGAACAAGTACAAATAACTTTCTCTTGCTGCAATGACATGATGTTCCAGCTAAGGATGAAATGAAACTGGTCAAACAGTTAAAAAAAAATCCATACCAATATGGACAATTTAAATCAATTTGATAAAAAAAAATTGCAATACTGTTTTATAACCAGCAGAGGGCACTATCTGTTTTTGGCATCTCATCACTAGCTGAAAAAGAGGGGTATACAGACATGGGGGAAACAAGCGAAGATTTTGAGGTGATAAACAGTCACTTTTTTTATTAAGAAACATGTGTATTGTTTTATTAACTACTCTGTACAACCTCAACATTTGAATTAAAGGAAAAGGGATTTTTGGCATTTTTATTGTCGGATGATTAAAATAAAAAAGAATCATATTTTTTTTTTAAATTAAAGAAAAATATTTTCACGTCTCCAAACAGCTCGCCGAGCATATAAAGCATAATGTAGGCACTTTCTCTCTTTCAGTACAAACCAAGCTAAAGCTCTTAGACATACTCCAAAGGCTTAAGGGTGAAGGCACTGTTAGCAAAAGCTGCTCTTGACTCCTTGCCCTCTCCAAGCACTTCAAAATAAATCCACAGACATGCCAGAAAGGAAAGACAAGTATCAGCTTTTCATCATCTTTTTTCAAAAGAAAAAAGCAAGGCTTTATGGGAAATGTCATGGTAATGCTAACAGAAGCTATTGTGTCGAACTTTTTCGAAAGGATTTTTTTTTGTTTTTTTGTGACAGTTGTTAAACTTTGTTTTATATTTGTACCCTTTTTCCCAAACAGGAGAGGTTCTTCGTCTTGGGAGGATCTCCGGCCACACGCAGAACGGCGGCTGGTCCTCCTGGAGTTCCTGGTCCCAGTGCAGCAGAGACTGCAGCAGGGGGATCCGCAGCCGGAAGAGGACCTGTAGCAGCCCGGAGCCCAAGTATGGAGGTCAGACCTGTCTCGGGCCAGCACAGGAGTATCAGGAGTGTAACATCACACCTTGTCCAGGTGAGAATTGTTTTAGTTATACTCAGTTCAATCCTCATATTCAAGTTCACATAAGTAAGTGTGAAAATAATTTTTGTGAGGCAGAACGGTGTTGTGACAAGGTGTTGTTATTTTACAGATTAGATCTCTGAAGGCAACAGACTCAGCAGTTGATATTAAGCTGTAAACACAGAGCTCTATCAGTCTTTAGTCAGGCTTACAGATCAGGGAGCTCGGTGCTTCGTTCTTGTGAGACACATTTTTCTTCCTGCACATAGACGACAACTCACCACTATTCTTGTGATTTAACTCGAGCAGGGGGAAAAAAATGGCGGTATTTCAGAGCACCTGATCACCTGCCTGTGTTTGTTTACCGCGTGCAACGTTCTTTCTCCAAGGACGCTACTGTGCCGACAGCAGCGTCACATCGTCTGCTTGTAGTCGGCTGTTTCACATAAAGTAACGAGAAACAAGTGCTTTTAAATGTCAGTAATTATAACGGCTTTGAATCTGGAAAGTAACTAATTAGTTAATAATAGCGGCGACGGGGCCAAACAATACACCATCAAATTTTAAGGGGTCTACAAATCTAAGCAATAAACCTAATGTTAGAAATCTCTCACTGAAAAACGTCTCTCACTGTTGGTTAGTGCGCTCGTCCCATGTTTGAAGGCCACGGTCCTCCAATCGGGTGGCCCAGGTTCGAATCCAGCCTGTGGCTCCTTTCCCGCATGTCATCCCCCACACTCTCTCTCCCTGATTTCCAGCTCTATCCACTGACCTATCTCTCCATTAAAGGCACAAAAAGCTAAAAAAAAATAGTAGTGGTGTTACAGTAACATGTAAATTAGTAACGCGATAGTCCCTACACTGGTTATACTGAACACAAACACGATTGGCTCACAACACACAGAGATAAGAACATATTCAATAGGAAAAGTCAGTCTCGTAGCCAGCTCTTTTTCACACACAGATAAATACACACTAATCCACCCAACACTCCATCTCTGTTTTTCCTTGATTACTGGATAAAGAATTAGTGACAAAATGACTTACCAAATTATCAGGAGCCACAAAAGAAATCAGTTGCAGATAAGAGGTGTGACGAAGACCCCAATTTACAGCAGGAATCAGGGACTATCCCTGTGGCGCTCCACTACGTAATTACATCGCTGGGTAATTATGCTGCCAGCTATGGGAGGCCTTATTCTGTTGTGAGAAGCCTTGAGACAATGCGTATTCAACGCTCCTCCAGCGGAAGGAGAAGAGGAAGCTTTCTAATTAAAAGAATGCTCCGTCTGACAAGGGTGGTAAGCTGTCTAAATGGAAATCCAGCTCTTTAGTTTGGTAGAAAGCGCACCTGGAATCCTGTGCGGGCGCCAAAGCAGGCGCATAGTCACACATGATTATTAATCAAGCGCCCTGGAGAAGGGATTAGGTAGCCAACTAAAAAGTCTGGAATCTGTGTGCCATCTTCCACCACTACGATTTGGCTTCACAGTGGCTGCCACGCTGTAAGCAGGCAAAAAAGAGACAAGAGGCTCTGCGGCCGTCAATACTATTTTTACAGCTTGTTAATTCATTCAGTGAGAGTGAACGCTATTCAGCTCCTAGCAGCTTGAGCGCTAATAGGGTAAGCTGTTTCAGCTGCGAGCTCAGATGAAGACGCTGGATGGATGTAAGAGCGTCAGATTTGCCTGTAAAGCTGCTACAAGTGTTCCCCTGTGAGTCAAACATCGAGTGAGTGTGCTTTGATTCCCCTGCGCCAGATTGCTATGCTAATACATGTAATACACCTATTCTGTTGAGGGTAATAATACCATAGCTACAATATGTTGATGAACAACTCCGCTCCCTTGTCCCCCAAAGGAACCGACTTAACACAGCCTGAGTAGCAATGAATACTAATGCATACTCAATTAGCACCCCTCTGAAAGTGAGATATTATTTCCAGAAAAGCGTACTGTGCTGCCAGACCGATTGCAATCCTCCGGTGGTTAATCCAGCACTTTTTATAAATGCATTAGTGCACTATGAAGAAGAAGAAGAAGAAAAGGTGTTATGGCTGCCATCCATCTGGTTGGGAAATAAATGAATCTGTGTTTCTTCTTGCGTCTGCGCCCCCCAGATGAGACGATCCGTCATGGCGGGCCAGGGATCGACTTATGTGTCACTTTGTGATAGAGAAATTACACTGAGATGACAAAAAGCTTGGGCAACTTCAATTACCTGCACTGTGCTGCCAGCCATCATCAGGTCTTTAAAAGCAATCCTCAAGTGGCTCTGAAGGGGGAATATCTCTCTGCCCCGACGGAGTACGTTTTTATCCGGATGATTGGTGAAGCATATTTACCTTTGTTGTGATTCACGGCAAAAAAAAGATTTCCTCCGTTTATTGCTCTTTTTTCCTCTTTAAATTTCTCTCACTTCTCTTCCTCTATTTATGTCTTCCATTTATGTGTGAATCCAGGTGTTTATAACTGACTGTTGTTTGCCACTTGGCGCCGCATGAAAGGACAACAACAGCGGCAGACTGCGATGCTTCATTTATCTTTATTAATCAGAGGACAGAGTGTGGAGTTCAGGGGGGTTGGGGTGGGGAGTGGGGGGGGGGGGGTCAGGCGTTTGGTGTAACAGCTGGGTGAAGCACATTTCATGTGACTTCAAAACAGCACACATTTCTCAAATTGCTGTACAGTTTTGTAGTTTGAAATGGTTTTGGAATGGCTTGATGTTGGAGGAAATTTTCCTTTGAAATGACCCAGAACTAAATCCAGGAAAACATAACACATTGAAGGGAATAATTTCCTAGAAAACAAGCGACATGGAAATAAAACACCAATGCCCTGCTGTCCTGCATCAATTACACAACTACAAAATGTTTATACTATCACAATCATGCCGGGGTTTTTTCGTGCATTAACATAAACAATGTGTCACTGATATGCTGTGTTCAGTGGACGGCAGCTGGTCGTGCTGGTCTTCGTGGTCCAAGTGTTCAGTGACATGCGGAGGGGGACACTACATGAGGACGCGAACCTGCAGCAACCCCCCACCAGCTTACGGAGGGGACATCTGCCTGGGTCTGCACACTGAGGAGGCGCTTTGCAACACACAATCCTGTCCAGGTACACAAACAAACACACACACACACACATCTGAACTTAAACTTCAGTGATAAGCAGCTTAGGGCTCTGACTCGGCCACCAATCCATCACAGGTTCATTGCTTATTTTCTTTAGTCCCTCTCGGCCCCACAGAACGCACTCATGCATAGCTAATATGCAGCTGAGGGCACACACACACACACACTCACACACACACACATATGCACACACACTTGACAGGCTGTGAGATACACTGTCGTTTCCGTTTTCAGAGAGCTGGTCCAGCTGGTCAGAGTGGTCCCACTGTGACTCCAACGGGGCCCAGATGCGTGTCCGTCACTGCGACGTCCTGTTCCCCACTGGAAACCAGTGCTCAGGAAACAACAGCGAGACCCGGCCATGCTCTCCTGACTCCAATTTTATACCAGGTGATCACACACACACAAACACACACACACAAACACACACACACATCTTTCCTCCTTAGGAAAAAAGTCTTAAGCACTCAAGCATGACTTAACACACAACTCCTGAACGCACACTCATATTCTGCATACCACCCACCACCATATGCCCAGAGCAGTAATTTAGTCCATTTCCAAGAATCCTGTGATAATGAAATACGTTATTGATCCCTCTGAGGGAGTCGTCTCCGTGTCAGAGGTCAGGTTCAGCGACAGGGCAGCACTTTTGGAGATGGTTGGGATTTGTGTCTTGCGGAGGGACTCCAGAGTGCGGTAGGTGATTACATGGGGGCGTGAACTCAGGTGCTGCACTTAAGGGCTTGTCTCCCTCATCATTCCAACAACCCTGCTACTATATTAGTTTCATTATGAGCCTCGGAGTCTTGTCGGGCAATGCAAAAAGCACTTACACCAGCAGTTTTACTTCTTTTTTTCTTTTTTTTTCCGGATGTTAGAAGGAAAATGGAGAATGGCTCCTGTATGCTATTTTCTTTACGAGCCTGGTCACTCAACTGTTTGCTGACATCTGTGTTGAAATGATAGATTCCTCTAATAAGCAAGCATTTTCCTAACGAGTAGCTACAGTATATACCGATACAATACTGAAACAGCAGTTTAAGATCCTTTACAACTTAACAACATTGTATTTCAACTCAGAGCCAGTTAGTCCATGATTCATCAGTATGAAAATAAAAACATATATATGACAAGAATAGGAATCAGGTTTATTGCCAAGAACGCTTACACATTCCAGTCATTTGTCTTGTGTGTGTAAGCGTTCTTGGTGCAATCAGATGTTTATTTTGTTCAAACAACCCTGTTTAGCTCCTTTGATCACATGCATGTTCATATTGTTCATATAAGTATTCATATATGTTTCAAGAAAACTTGAAGCTAGAGAGAGTAACACAGGTCAGCTTAAACTCTCATAGCCTCAAAGATACGTTTACAAATGAATACTAAATAGAGGTTATTTTAACCCAACCTCTCAAACAAGTGTACTTGGGTATTCATGTTGTCGTCAGCCTTGTAAGTAACAATGTTTATTCAATGTACAACTGTATCCTAGGGAATAATTACCTAGACAGCCAGACATGTTAACATTGCAGGTGAAACAGATTAGGGAAAGTATATTAATGTTAAGTTTGGAACTAACCTGGATCCTCTAAACCACAGCACAGGCTCCAGCTGGCTGCTGAGAGGCTTCGGCACTGTTTATATTTTCATCTCACCCTGCATACCCAATAACCAAACTTTAAATTACATCTGGTGATAAGGCCTGAGATTTGGTGTCTGTCTGTTCATTGTAATAAAACCAATCAGGCTAGGTGAAAGTTAGTAAGTAAAGTGTTTTTATATAGCACCTTTCAGGAGCAGACGTCTCAAAGTGATTCATAATAAAAGACAGTAAATGCAGATAATGACATAATAACAGACAGACGGTTCAAATAAAGGCAAGTCTAAACAAATGGGTCTGCTTTTTCAATATGTCCAGCAAAAGTGTTATAACCAGACGGACAGCAGGAGACTCAGAAGTGATCTTTTTTATGAGCTAAGCTAAATGAAGAGCTGAACAAACTAGTGGTAAAAAAAATAATAAAAAATGACACTCTCTTTACTGGTGGTTTAAAAGCTGCAACTTTAAACCCCGCGTTTTATTTAAGGTGATAATGACTATCAATCCTGATACACTGACAGGTTTGTTCTCCTGTATGTACGACACACCTTTATGACTCACGGCGCCTTCTTGTTTTGATCTATTTGATCTCTTTTTATAAATCTTGCATTGAGAGGCTGAAACCAAAGTCTTAGAATTGAGTTTCTGAAAGACAGTGCTTTTTCTGAAAGACAGAATGTTAAGAAACTCCTAAAACCTATAAATACACACACAAATCACACACACACACACACACACACACATCATATGTATTGATATCTGCTTAGACAGGCATCTCCCGATTGACAGCCCGTAATGTGAGACAACGCAGAGCATTGATCCCGGCTGCACAAAGATCATTAAAACTCCTCCTTTGAACAAAGAAAAGGTTCATGCTTTTCACTTTGTAGAACTACAAAAATACAACTGCTATAAAAATTTTTAAAAAAACTGCATTTATTCTAGAAAACGTTATTACCCACGAGGAGAGTCCTTGACTTCTAAAACTTGAGGAATAATAAATTACGAGAATAAACATTTGATCGAAACACACATTTGTAACCTTTTCTGTATTAATTAGCAGGGTAATAATAATCATGAAGGCCCTTCACAGGTCTGTAAAGAATCACCCATTTACCTTTATACCTTATCATCCATCCCCTTTAATGGGAACAGTATAGTCCATTAAGGTTCATTAGCAGCGTCTTGTACTTCATTTCCTTTAATGAGAGCTGATACTTGTCATAAACTACTCCAGGTGCCACAGCCGATAATCTGTATCATATTGAGTGTAGCTTTCATCTCTACTCTCATCTTCTAGGGTACAATTTGTCCCGCTAACAGGGCTGTTTGTCTGTGTTTATGGTTTTTAGCCCTAATTCCGCTGCCTTGTGCCTTTTCTCCCTCTCTCCTTTGTCAGAAGTCTCGATTGCACGCTCAAGCCAGGAGGAGATGCGGTGTGGAGGTAATTTTCAGCACGTGTGTGTGTGTGTGTGTGTGTGTGAATGTGTGTGTAAGAAAAGTCGGGAGCTTAAGACCTGCTTGTGCTCATGTGCAGCATCTTTTCAGTCAAATGTTTTTCTAATCCTGCTTTAAAGCCAATAAATCCAGTTGTAATATACCCAAAGAAACATGAAAGAAAGATGGTGATCATATCTGTTGGTGGTCATAAATGCACTGTGTATGAAATGTGTCAAGTTTGGTTGGAAATGCCTCACACTTCTTGAGCCATAAATATCTTTTCCACCCAAAATAAAGCCACGTTACAGGGCAGCAGAGGCGACAAAATCTTTGCTTACGCTGCTGTATTTGTCTATTCAGTAAAACCTTAATCCTGAAAAACCAAAACACTGCAGTTTTCCACAGTGACAGTGGGAGTTTGAGTGCATCAATAAAATCACTTTTAACAGTGTCGTCTTACTGGCCAGCTGCAATAATCCACATATAAGAGTCCATATATGAGAGTGCTCTGAGTTGATAAAAATGCAGATGGAGGGATTGCCTTAAACAGGCAGCTTTAGGAGCCTTTAGCCGACTGAGTTTTGCCCTGTGCACAGGCTACAGATGCTTTTATTATCATTGTTTAGTGTGATGAAAACTATATACAGCCTGAAAGGGAGCTGTGCAGCAAACAGACGGAGCTGCTGGCTACAGAAAATAACGCTTCTTTCCGACGCACTTTTTTTCCCCCACAGAGATAAAGGCCAGTCGAGGCCAGGGCTCATAATTAAACAGTTTACATTCAATAAGTATACTGCATTAATTTTAATGAAACCAGTTCAGAATTTCAATATATTAAAACTGACTTTAAAATAATTAGTTCTAAAGAGCACAATGGCGACTCACTTAATGCCTTTTTTTCATTCCCTTTTGCAAAATTTTGAAAGAAAAAATAAGTTTGGCAACTCAGAGCAAACGTGTGCTGTATTATGAGCAGACATTGACAACATCTAGTGAAAAGTTGCATCTTTTTAAAAGATATAAGCAGCATCTTTTATAAGTGGAATGAAATAGGACCTACTAGCACACATCAAAACGACCAAAACTGCAGAAAAAGAGAAAAAAATGAAATCTTGCTTTCCCTCCAAGGTCTCAAGAAGTCTTCTTTCTTGCAAAACACTCCATCATTACCATATCTATGCAGTTTCAATTACCTCTTCCACTTGTGTGAATTGACAGAGAATCACCCCCTGCCTCTCCTCCCTTTCTCTCTCCCAGACTTTAATCTTTTCCACATGATCGCTGTGGGGCTCAGCAGCTCCATCCTCGGCTGTCTAGTCACCCTGCTGGTCTACTCGTACTGCCAGCGCTACCAGCAGCAGGCGCACGACGCCACTGTCATCCACCCCATCTCAGCCGCTCCGCTCAACACCAGCATCACCAACCACATCAACAAACTGGACAAATACGACTCGGTGGAAGCCATCAAGGTCTGTGGACAGGTTTTTGGACGGGGGTTAGCTGCAGGTCACACTTGGCAGATGTCAGATGTGTAGAGTTTGCAACATTTCTTAACTGTTCAGTTTGATCAATTGATGCCACACTTTGACTCCCGAGCCAATGAGCAACGGTTTGCCTCTTCCTCCAGTGTCAGTCTTGATTAAACGCACTTCTTTCTGCATGACTCTCACTGTCACACCGCCTCCTGTCCTGTACTGACACTCTGCAGTCGTGTAACAGATAGGCAGTTGTGCTTACATCTTCTCTCCGTGTGTGTCTCAGTGTGTGACTTTGTTCTGTGTCAGTGGTCATACACTGCTTTCTCATAACATACTAATGCAATTACTTATCGGTGCGTGGGTAGGTAATCAGCGAGGACGCTCTGCATCTGCAAATTTCCCTGCTTAGACAGGTCCTTTCTGTCATTATTGCATCCTAAATCGCAGCCAGTCGGTTGTTCCAGCTCCTCTCCTGGTACAAACAGCCTCTTATCCCTCTGATACATCAGGCCTTCAGTGCCAGATTGAGCTGCTGATTAGTGCTCGTCCACAGACACTCATCGCTCCAGCTGGGCTTTTTTCAAGGATTTCTAGTGCTCTGTATTAAGGAGCGTTTCGACCACTTGGACACCTTGTCCATTCTTCTTTTTTTTTTTTGCTCTAAAAAAGGAGATTCAAAAGCAATGAATGTGGTACCATGATGTTATGCCAATGAAGAACTGGGCTCAATGTGTGTTTGATTTCTACTTAGCCTTGACACTTCCCAGCCCTCTGGAAAAAAACCTGGTACCTATTTGTTCTCCTGCTCGTAAGCAGCTACTGAGTATTAAAGAAGCAATGGGACCTTGATTCAAAGATTGATTTAATAAAAATTAAAAAAAAGAAAGACTTCTCCTTTCTAATGGCTACCAGATTTTATTTGCAGTTACTATTGTAGCCAGATTATTAAGCAACTGTTAGCTTAGTGTGTTGTTTCCTTCTGAATGACTTCTTAAAGTTTCAAGCTGACTCGTTTTACTGCAGATAATGTGGCATGTTCACCTTTTAATCCTTGGAGAAGAAATAGAAGCTCTGTTTTTGTATAACAGTGTAGAGCTGGATGATCATAGTATTATAAACGCACTAATAAATAGTCGGATCTCACTGTTCTGACACTGCCTTGCTGATCTATACTTGTATGAGAATGTCTGAGAAAAGACTGAGGAATAAGAACTTATTGCATCTGTCAGACGTAACTAATAATGATCTGTTAAGGAGAGATGTTCATCAGACATTCAAATGGGAATTATTCAAGTTGTATGCTAAATTTCAAACTCACCTCAGGATTGACGTCCGTTGATTTAACAGTAGCGCTGAATAAACTACATTTTCCATTGTTTTTCATAACTCTGTTCTTTCAGACGAAGTCTTCAACATCAGCTACATGTTATATAAACTAAGTGGATACCTGTGTGTCTGTTTGCAAAACAACTACACAGATATGACAGTCTTTTTTTTTTTTTTTTTTGTTAAAACTGCCACTGAGAGAATCGCAGAGCTTTGAGCCTGGAGCAAATGTCTCTAAATGTAATTTCATTTCTGGGATAAAGGTGTGAGGAGCGTTCATCTGTCATACAATTAGAGTCAGGAGTGTAGAGCGTAACTCAGTTAGTTCTATTGTAGATAGAGGCGGATATGAATGTAGACAGTCCGTGTGAAAATAGGAAAGTAGCTGCATGACAAATGAACATGGTCTTTCCAAAAAAGCTCATTCTTCCTCTAACCCTCACTCACTGAAGTTTGGATGTCAGGGTGAATTTTCAAACATTAAAATAGGTCCTTTGAGTGTTCAAAGGGTGGAATGAAGAGCATCTGATGCCATATTTTGATGTTTTTTGGCTTTAATCCTGATGTTGATGACTCATTAGTCATGATGATTATGCACAGTGTATCATAGATACTGTTTTCTGGCCAACAGGAGTATTAAGAGCAGTCTGCTTTATGAAAACAAGCCTAATTCAACATGTGTCTGTTGTTTCATGTATAGTTTACACATTTCCAGGCTTCGTGTTAGACAGTATATGGCCTCAGGGTTTTTGTGAGGATGACTCTTGCCCCTTCCTCTCCCCCTTGCAGCCAGACGTGTCGGTACTCTTGCCCTTGGACGACCCCGCCATGCACCAGCCTCTCTCTGCTAACATGGGGGTGTCCATGCGCGGCCTGGAGATTTTCTACTAACCACTGACCTCTGATCTCAGCAACATACCCCCCAGCAACTCTTTGACCCAAACCACTACTACTACTACTACTTCTTCCTCTTCCCCACCGTGCCCTGCCCGTCCACCTCCTGTGGCACTTCATGTGTGTGGCAGGTTGGCTAACAGACTGTAGTTTCTCTGCTCAGACCCCTTCATCCGTCCATCACGACATCCCCCCCTTCTCCCTCCCAGCTTGTGAGAAGGCAGTGTATCCCTCCTTTTTTTGGTGCCTCCATTAGCATGTTTTTTTTTTCAATGTTGTTCTTTTGTCTTCTTAAATGGTTTTATTTGTTGCATTTAGAAAGAATATTGTCTTTTACTGTGCTCTTCTGTTCTCTCTGTCACTAATGCCACTCCATACTTGAGCAAATTGTGTTTACCGCACCAAAAACACAAATGTAATCATTCTTCGGCTAATTAAAGACGTTTAAGGCTAAAAGACAGAGTAGATGATGCTTACAAGCGTTGTAGCACAGCTATTAAAAGCAGCCATGGGGCCACCTGCAGAGACACATAACCGTCTCAGGGGCTGCGGGAGTGTTGATTGCATTCTCATTGAGTGCAAATCACATGATGGGAAAGAAGCTAAATATACACGTTTTTTGTCCAGCACGCTCATTCCCTTTCAGCGTCAGTCGGAAAACATCCATCAACTGCAAATGCAGCATCATCAAGTGTTCAATTACAGCGCCCTGAGGGACTCCCAGCACACATATTCCCTGCAACAGACGGGATATGAACGCATCAATTTGCCAAATTGCTGATGTTGTATTGAGCACCACATCAGAAGCTCATTCCATGTTTACTATGTCAAGCAGGGACAGAGAAGATGCCCCCATGGCTCTTCCTTATTGTTTAACAGAAAAACGGCCCCCACTTTGATCGATTTTTATGACCATGATTGTCCTGGAGGAGCAGCAATCCAAGGGCCATAAAAACTGCTGATGCTGGGTATTAGCGTTGACAGAGGTGGACATATGGAAGCGCATCAAAATAATTCAGCCCTGTGGTGGCTTATCACTTCCCTAGCCTGTTTGCAAACGCTTTGACCTTGCTCTGTGAAATGTGTGTTTCATTCACAGAGCAGTGTCCCATTGATTTGCAATGCTTGTTTTCCCTTTTTGGGGAGTTTGTATGTATTTGCTTTTTACCCTGCCATCTGGGCTGAATAATCACTTGATCCATGTGTTGCAAACAAGTCCAAGCTGACTCCTGTCTCCTCCTCTCCATTTTTCATCCATAGGCCTTCAACAAAAACAATCTGATTCTGGAGGAAAGAAATAAGTACTTCAATCCACAGCTTGCCGGGAAGACCTACACCAATGCATACTTCACCGACCTCAACACCTACGACGACTATTAGCCCTCAATTCAGCAGTACACACTCCGTAACACAGCGGGGATTCCAGCACCATCATCCATATGACTGTATTCTTTTTTCTGCTTTATTGAGATTCTTGGCACAGTGCGTGTCACACTTGGAGACTCTATGGCAGCTTGTATGTAATGAAAACAGACACACAGTGTTGCTTACGGAGGGAAACGCCCACTCTCTCTCAGGTGCCTTGGGGTACACTTGGAAAGCTCAATTTCTGACTCTCGCTGAGAAAATGACAAACCGGATTTCCAAATGTGGACTTAAAAAAGGGAAAAATAAGAACTGAACTCAAAGAGACTGTGGGACATGTGATCCCTTTTAACTTTCCTGTGACGCCTCTAAAAAAAAAGATTATGTATTTGTAATGATGGGAAATAACCACAAAACCGCTTTGCATGACTTCATCTGATGTGTTTTCTCTGCCGTTATGTTTCGTTTTGCATGATTTATGGCATTCCAGGGTTCAGGGACTCGAAAAGAAGTGCTTCTTTTTTAGCTTGTCTTAGGTTCAGGACTGGATTTGGAAAGACATCAAATCAAAGACAGTTGGGAAGCCTGGTGGCTTTTACTATTTACAGCTGCCGAAATCTCCAGATGGATCAATATCCACACCCAGTCCTTGAATCAGGATGTAGATATTTAAAGTTCATGGTCCATTCTGTCCAACTCTTTTTTTTACATCATGCTGTCAGCTTGGGTATTTTCCAGATATTGAACTTTCATTGCAAATTTTTCTTTTGTTTTTCTTCTGTTTTGTTTTTAAGGTGCTTTTGTTTTGTACAGGAGGTTAAGTTTGGAGCCTATGTCTGTAGTTTTTTTCTTTTAATACATTTATTCAGTGTCTCAAGTGTTAAAAGAATGAAACATTTCTGTTAAAAAAAAAAAAAAAAAGTTATCATATCAGCCTGCATCAAGTTCAGTCTTTGTCACCGTACTTTTTATATTTTTTGTAACAAAAAAAATAATGTTTTTGAATTTTGATAGTGTTCGCTATCCCTTTGGCTTCTGAGTTAAAGATGTATTTGTGGGTGCAGGATGTTAATGGCATTTACTGTACAGATGGAGCAAACACTATTCTCCTGAACCCCAACTGGAGCGCTACACATATACTACTAGATGAAATCCATTCATTGATTTGAAATATTCCTGTTCACAGTGTATAACCAAATATTAGGTTATTCAGTGGTTCAGTTGCAACTAACTCTTTTTACATGTTTGCTTGTGTTACTGTGCATAAATTAAAAACTGCTTCGTACACAACAGACTTGACAGTGTGAGTTAAACAGACGTCTCATTTGTAAAACCTTTGATCTCGTGTATTTTACTTTCTCCGCAGCTCGCATGAAGCTTGTAAACATTGCTGAGTGAAAGCTGATACATTTGTGAGATACTTCCATTCAGTGGGGTTTCATCTGACAACTTTGGAGACTTTGATCTTCCTCCAACAAAATACTGTTAAAAACGGAGCACCATAAGAACCTCAGCACTTCATAAATCCCTCAAAACCGGTGTAGCAGACCCCCTCCACCTGTTTTTTTTTTAAAGGAGTCTTCGGCAAGGCCCTGCAGTGACAAATGGCAAGTGCAGAATTGGAAGGATACCTGAAGGGTACAAATCGCACGAGGCAGCAGGGTAAAGGTTGAGAGGGGAGAGGGGGGGGAGGGATGAAGTCTAAATTCTAAACTCTAATCTGTATGATGGGGTGTAACAGCACACACGGCGCTGTTCTCCATCAACCTTCAACCTGACGTCCCATCTGTGTGCAGAGGGTAATGGAGGGGGTGTTATTAATCACCCCGCTGTTTGGTTGGTCGAAGGGGGGAAGAAGGGAGGGGGTGCTGATGCAGGTGAATGTGCAGCTCAGAGCTGTGTGGCTCCTGAGAATCACGTTCTTTGGCTTGAGTTCATTCTAACTAGCCGAAAAAGCAGACACAAATTTACACATGAAGGATCCAAGAGGACAGTGTGTATGTGTGTGTGCAAGTGTTATGCAGATAGAAATGTTTTGAAGGTTGGAAAAGTGTTGATATCGGCTGCAGAAAGGCACATTTCCCTGGCAACTATGGAAGTGTAGAGGTGTCTCAAACTTCTCTTTAGTGTGTGGAGTTTTAAAACGGCAAAGTGAGAGCTGTGCAGGTCACAGTCAGGCAGACACATGTGACATTCCAGTGTGACAGCACGGCCAAGGACAATAAATGACTTTCCCAAAGTGGCATTTAGGGACTGCTAAAGGTCTCAGCTAAAGGTCACAAGAGCATGGTTTCTGCATGTCAGAGAAAGCAGCTGTGAGTGCCTGCATGTGCATAAAGAAGTCAGAGTGTCATGATATGCGACTCGCAGGAAGCGATCGACCAAAAGCCTGCATTATGTTCATGTATGTTCACGTCAAAGGGTTTCATGAATTCTGCAACAGCGACTATTTCAGGCAACCACTTTGTTAGAGGCTGAAATATATCAAGACTTATTGGATAGATTTTTCAAACGTGATGTTACCCTGAGAGACAAATCTCTTCTTATTTCTAGCACGTCCAACAGGTCAATCACTCCCCCCCCGAATAGTGACACATTTTAATGCATCGATTAGTACATCAATACAGGAAATTAGCGTTGTCTAATGACAGAAACAATTGGACCAATTTTTTTTTTTTTTTTACATTTATGTTCCACTTGAGATTAGAATGAAACACAACCATCCTCAGGTGTTTCTGGTTGTCAGTTTATTCAGGTTATTAAGATTTATTAGGGGCTTTTGTGCCATTATTTATTATACAGGACAGTGGATAGATCAGGAAACTGGGGAGAGAGAGTGGGGAAAGGAGCCGCAGGTCAGACCCGAACCAGTGTCCCCTGCCTGGAGGACTATGGCCTTCGCACATGGGGCGCGACCTAACCATTGGGCCATCTGCGCCCCTACTCATAGACTGTATAAAATATAGACATAGTCTCTGTGACATCACCCATTGAATTCTCAAGAGGTGATTTGAAGTACAACAACGGTGGCTGACAATATGGAAATGCAGACTCCAAAGAACTTTAAGTAATGTAGAAACAAGCAAAAAGGTGAAGCTGAGCTGGGATTCAAGGCTCCTGGCAAACAGCTATAAGGAGCCAACTGTCAGTCAACTCAGCCATGCCCCTAATAATACAAAACTATGCATAACTCTTAGCCTTAATATAATCTAAACAGTTTTTTCCTGCTTAAAAAAGGGGCATGGGACCTTATGAGGATTCTATGGCTTTTTGAAGCCAGCCTCAAAGTGGACACTCGAGGGACTGCAGTCTTTTGTACTTCCGCATTGGCTTCATTATTCAACGCCCAGAGGTTGCTCCATGGTTTTACTCTGGGCTCATTAGATTAATAAGCATGATGAACTTAGATCATGGACATGGCAAACTTTACACCATTAAAAACATTAAATATACTAAAGCTAACAACACACTTACTGAGCATGGACGTGAAAACTCTTGTTCCCAAAATAGTTTTATGTTTGTTTGTTTTTTTAAAACTGTTCATAATGGTCTGGTGATCCTAAAAGTCCAAAACACATTTCACAGCTGTTGTGTTTTGTAAAATGTTGTGGTTTGTAAATGGTGTTGGGTTTTAAACATTAGGGCCAGCGAAATTAAAAAATGGAAGTAATAATGAGGAACTTGTTTCTCAATGGAAACAACTGTAATATATATTAATGCTCAGATTTAACATTTTTAAGTAGTCTTGATTTGAATAAAGACACAAAACCCTTGTCTTTGAAGAGGTCATTTTCATTATCCTAATTTAGAACAGCTCAAGAATTCTTTTTTTAATAAATATTGAAAAATATATTGACCTCTGAACACTCCTCTAGGCTTTAAATCTCCATTGTAATTGTCAGAATATATATTTGAGTGACACCTTCATGATGTGATTGGAATAAAGGAAAAATAGTTCTCTCCAAATATGAGCCAGGCGTCTCTGCATGTTGCCATTTTGCTCATGAAGCATTCAGCTGCTCGGTTAATTAGCAGCCTGTATACAGAGGCCTCTGAGTGGCAAACAAGGTGAGTGAGTGAGATTGTTCCTGTCAGGTAGGTAACAGAGCGTGAACATCCCATTAAACACCTCTCTTTTTTTCCCCCTCTGGAGAACAGACCCTCTCATTCACATGGATCACTGTGCTTTGGACTGGCCTCCAGCATGCAGCTCCCTGATCAGATCCAGCTCTGACTGCACTGTAATATCAGCAGGTTTGGTCATTGAAATACTCCCAAAATAATGTCCCTGGACTACTTGTTATCTCCAAACCTGAACTATCTATGTCATTTTTTTTTGTGTGGAGAGAATCAGACAAAGTTTTAGCCAAATGCGGGATGAGACCCAGTGCATGCAGCACATTTTCTTTTCGTGAAAAGAAAAAAGCTGTGCTGAGTTATATTTATACGAGCCGGGAGAAGTGATGGAAGAAGATGTTGACTAAACAACCCCAGGGAAGACAGAAGACTACAGAACAATTTATGAGCTGTCATGAAATGTTGTTTTTTTTTCCAGTAGGAAAATAACCGTGATTACTGATGCCTGTCATGCAGAGGGATCCTTGAGCAGCAGGGTTACATGGAGCACACACAGACACTTTAAATTAGATATTTTTCACAGCATAGCACCGCAGAGGTGGAGTGTACCCTATACTCAATCTGCATCTGTTTCTACCTGAGGCCTAGGTGAAGCCCTGTCGATTTACCTATTTATTTGTTGTGTCTTTGCGGCTATAAATAGGCAGACAAAGTTTCTTTAGCTATTCCCTGATGCATTAGAGCATTCCCAGAAGAGTAGTTTTCTCTGTGCTTGTATATTTTGAAGCGAAAACTCCTTAATGAAGCTTCACTCCAGATTAACATTACAGTGCATTCAAAGAACACAGATGAGAGAGATTTTTCAAAGCCACTCTTATCCCCATAACACCATTTGTTGGATTTAAGAAAGAGAATTCTGTTTTTGCTTGTAATATTCATATTTTCATGACATTACATTAGCATTTAAAGTTTCCACATCGCACAACAGTCTTTCGGATACTCTTTTTTTCATGTCGCAGAGAGAACAAAGCCCAGCTTCCAGCAGCGCTCACTCACAGATATTTGTGTGGGTTGATAGGAAGCTGGCTCGACGCTGCAGCTTCCTTTCCGTCGAGCCAGACTGAAGGATGAATGTCACCGTAGGCGCTTATGCCAGCTCGGGGAGACCACCATAGATTCAACCCAGAGACATCTGGAATCCCAGGTGCCCGTCTCGCTCGATCCAGGTCTCAGCTGCAGGAAGCCAAGACGAGTCATCAATGCAGAGACCATCCAAGCCATACAGAAGCTTATCGGCTCTACCACAACACCCTTTATGGGCCTATTCACCTCAATCAAAGCTGTTATTTAGGTAACGAGCCAAGATGGCGGATATCGCTGTGCTCCAATTACTTGCTATTTCTCCTCCATCTTTCCTTGCCAGCTTCCCCACAAGCCCTGATTCTCCTCAGCGAGCCCAGCTGCTCTGGCGCTGCTCCTCGTCCTCGGTGTCTGCGCGTAGGGAGACCTTTCCGAACAGAAGGGCTCTGTCAGCTCAAGACTCACTCACAGGAGCTATTGATGTCTGCCGTGGGGTTCGGTCCAGCAGGGCTTATCGATGGCAGGGAGGTGGGCTTGAAAAGTGCAAAGTCAAAAAATGACTTCCTGTGAATCATTTTGGAGCTGCTGTGAGATAGTTGTGGATAACAGGTTGATAAAAAAAAACACTCATAGACGTTTCAGTTTCAGTCATAGTTTTAGCTTTAACGTTAAAGCTCCTGTGAGAAGTTTTTTAACTGCATGAAAGAGGCTTTAAATAACATCGATGTCTCTTTATAACCTACAAAAGGAAGCAAGATCATCAGCGACAAGACAATTTCAGGGTTTTTTAAATGCGTGTTACCACTGCCACAGGGAAGGTGTCAGACGGGGAAAAACGTGTCACTGTATATATTGACGGTGAGTAGTATGTTAGACTGTTAAAATAAAGCACATACGATCTTATTGTCAGAAAACACTACTTACACAAGTCTAAATCAGCAGAGATTTAGTGAGATTAGACGTACCACCTTGTCCACAGGTGACGTCAAAATCAACACAAACTGAAAGATTGTCCCAGGAGCTTTAATGTAGTTTACATTCAAATATTATCCTCTGTGATAAGAATGAACAATTACAAACTTGTGTAGTTGCAAATAAGTTTATTTTTCTGTTGAGTGTGACTATCACTTACAAACTGAAGA